GAAACGCCACACATTTATACAGAAACGCTCTGCTATTAAGGAAAACTACTTCAAGTACACATAATGAATGTGATTTTCTACGGAACAAGCGTGTCCCTAACGGGCCACCGTACTGTTCAAAACAACAGTCCAACTAAGCAAATGTAGTGTTAGAGCAAAGGTTAGTAATAATATACACTTAATGTCTGCTCCCGAGGGAAATAGTTAGTTTTGTTTTCCCGAGAATCTCAATGTTTCCCGAGACGAAGTCGAGGGAAACATTAAGATTCGAGGGAAAACAAAACTAACTATTTCCCGAGGGAACAGGCATTAAGTGTTTTGTTATATAGCGACGAACAAAAATCAACTTCAACAATATTCATACAACAATTGTATTTCGTGACAAAAACTCTATAGTGTAAACGAGTTTAAAATTAAAAGAACCTACTTAAACGGTTTCAGCAGCATATCCTGTTGTGTATTTTTCTTCTCTTTTATATTCTTTATTTGAACACAAACTTGGAAAATCGTAGTTTCTAATTATCTGAGTTGTGCCTCCATTTTGTTTATTTATGTACGTGGCCGGTCGGGGCGGGCAACAATTTTTCACTTGTTGCCCGGCGGGAAACATTGCATTTATCTGAAGTCACGTGACCACAAATCAGCCAATCACGTTTGGTGTTCACGCTAGCTATATAACAATAAGGGTTAGTAATAATAAAGGTTAGTAATATTACATTAGTAATAATTAAACAAAATTTTTACAAACATTTTCAAATGCTAATAAAAGAATCCCCACCCTCCCTCCTCTCATTTTGCTTTCTAACATAAATGTTTTTGTTTGGAGATTAATACAAGAATGATGAATAAATGTACTGGATATTGGCTGGATAATTTTGTCAGAACCACCCATTTGCAAGACAATCTTACCTAAATTCATTAGTATGGAAAATAACTTTACAGCTACAATAATCATATAAATTATTATATGCGTGGATCAGATCAATGGCACACAATGTACAAAACTAAACTTGTGATACATGTACCTTCTACTCAAACCGGTATTCTCCCACAACACAAATTGTTTTCGTGTGGATATGCTGTGTTAAACCGAACAGTGTGGTATATCATTAGACATTAACTGTGCACTGAATTGGAATTGAATCATATACTTCACTCATGACCTTGAAAACATTTTCTACTATTCAGTGGTCTTGGATATATGATTGACGCTTTGCTACAGTAATGCGTGTTCCTTGAATAGTTTGTGTATTTTACTCAACATAACAACATTGGCAAGTGTTTACAAAAAGCGACAGAACTTTTGCTTCATATGATCACAATAAAGTTTTGAAAATTCAATGAGTATGGATTGAATTCACAAGTGACAGTTTACTAAATAGCTGGCTGCATAATTATCCGTAACAATCTTAATCACAGTATAAAATTAATTATATTTTCTCGGCCGGGGGGGGGCGCAGTTGCCCTCCCCGCTGTGTACAGCCCCGTTAGATGTGTATTATGTTTCACTTTAAAATCTTATTTGCTATTATATTTATTTTAATAAGTGATGAAATATTTAAATTGTCCCATGTCATCTTCATTATTTAGTTCCTTTCAAGAAAATACAAAATGTGAATCAAATTTTTTCGCTGATACATGTACGCGTCGCGTACCTATTTTTTGGGGGGAGGGCACCATAGCCCTCTAGCCCACATGTTCTGACACCCCTTTTTCATACGTCCCTATACGCACGGAAAAGTTTAAGTCCATTTAAATGTTATACTTGTATTGTTCTTTGCGGGGTTCGCCTAGAGAGGATCTTTCGTCGCCGTAGGTCTTTGTTCCAAACATCGTCATGTGTGATCTTGCTGAGTGTGAAATCCTTGTTCAATTTATCTAGCTATTTTTTGTACGGTCTTCCTCATCTCTTTTCTTCAGGTAATGCATGGTATCCCGCAGGGATATTCCCCGCGCCAGCGTAGCATCCTCAGTCATCTCTGTTCGTACAAGCACTAGTTCTTCCGTTCGTCTCAGGGCCCAGGTTTCTGCTCAATACATTAGCAGCGGTCTTATAACTGTTTTATATTTTGATCTTTAATTTAACTGGTATATTTTTGTCGTAAAGTAAAATTTGAGAAGTTGCTCTATTTTTGCCAAGCAGTTTTCACTCTTGCTCGTACAGTTTCTTCTTGGATAACAACACCTTCTTCTTGGATCACATCTCTTGGATACTTAAACTCTATATCTTCATGTAGCCGTGTACCGTTAGGCCGTTTGCTGTGACATCGATTTTCATTTTCCATGTCTTCGAACTGTAATATTTTTACGGGAACAACACTTTCGAACACGCCGAGTTCAAATCCGAAAGGTTCCCGCTCCGTAGATCTGCAGTTTCTCACAAACTGCTATTTTATCTTCACTAATTTCACGACAAATTTTTCATTGTTCAACGACACGGATGGATGAAGACGCATGATGGCATAACTCAAAATGACTCATTCCTATGAACCAGTTTCTACATTTAACAAAAGACCGTTTTGCTTGGATCATTTTGAGTTATGTAATTTTAAGCGCGTTGGACGAAAAGAACATGTCTTGTCTACAACTTTGGGATGGTGCCGATATCGCTTTCAAAAATCCTCAGTTCTGGCTCTATCTCTATAATATCACAAGGACGTCAATGTCAAATCTTTAGGCTATGTCTCTGCGCTGAGAAATAATTGCTTTCATGCGATCATTTGTACCAGTTGTTTCCCGCAGTTCGTTCATTAAGTAGGAATACAATGCATTGTGGGAAGCAACTGGGGGATTTACTAACCCTCGACATTTATGAGGCGTGTGCACCTCCGAGGTTTACTAGAACCACAGAATAAAGATCAGTAACAGAAGGGCCACTCAGCGGTGCAACGTGTACGCGTTTTTTTATGCAAAAATATGCAGTTTACTGGCCAGAAGGCGGAGCAGCCAGCCAGTACAGCGTGTTTATTGGCCAGAAAATGTCATTGACTGGCTAGGAAAATGGCGGCCATCATGCGTAATGCGACATGCGCGAGGACAGAAACTTCAAAGCTTCCGACGTAAGTGGCCCTTCTATATGGATCTTTATGCTATGCTAGAACAGTATAGATTTTCAATATGAACAGTAAATTTTTACTAAGTTTGGTCAGGTGCATGGTTCCTCGAGTTCCGTTTGCGCCTCGCGCATTTAGGGTCTCCGCATAATTGACTATATAATTAGACTTTGTATATATGCTTTAGTGGACCCTAATAAAGACAATAATAATAATCAAAATGTTTTATACCACGATGTAAAACGGTAATTTTATGTAATGGATCAGCATTTAAATTTCCAACACAGTTTCTGAGTTGAAAATCACCAAATAAACAGCTCATGCACACAGTTCTCTACTTCGTCGTAAGATTGATCCTGTCGTAAGCCTTCTACAAGTAACCCATCGACAATATTTCATTGTAGTGTTGTCTTTGCCGTTACGTTGGCTTCGCGCTACTTGACCAGTGAAATAGCGAAAAGACTTAGCATTAACGTCCTTGTGATTTTATAGAGATATCGCTAGAACGGAGGATTTTAGAAAGCGTTATCTGTAACTTCTCAAAGTTGTAGGCAAGATATGATGTTTACGTCCAACACGCATAAGGTTACACAACTCAAAATGATTTGGGCAAAACGGTTATTTGTTAAAAGGAAGACTGGTTAATAGAAGTTGGTTCTTTTGAGTGAGATAATCGTTTGTCGTCATCCATCCGTGTCGTTGAACAATGAAAAAATTTGTCGCGAAATTAGTGAAGATAAAATAGCAGTTTGTGAAAAAACTGCATGCGGGTCTACGTAGCGGGAACTTTTGAGATTTGAACTCAGTGTGTTCGAAAGTGTTCGTTCCCGTAAAAATATTTCAGTTCCAAGACATGGGAGATGAATGTTAACTATATCGGGATGCAGCAAACGGCCTACATGTTTGTCTCTAATATTTAACTTCGATAAGCACAATGAACAACAGGGTGCTCAATGCCGAGCCTTGTTGCATTGGAAAGCTGTCAGTATCTCCGTGAGCTGTTCTTACCACCATGCTAGCCATTCAAATTTAATTCAGTTCAATTTGGTATATACCACTTCTTTTCTTAAGCACCACCATACTATAAAGACATGCGTGCACCAACCCCTCCCTCTTTCTTAACAGAGCTACTATAATTACAAAATATTGCTTGAACATGAAAATCATTATTTTGTATAAAACTACAAAATTCAACAAACAGGCAACAAATTAAAAAGAACACTATTTTTAAATGCTAAATCATTTACTGTAAAAATCTGTAGGAAGTAGGGCAATCAATATGTATTTGGCAATCAATATGTTTTAATTTAATGTAAATTCATAATTTGAATGTGAGGTATAAAATGTTTCGAAATTTTGACAACCGAGTGATAGGAAGGCGAAAAGCAGTTTTGTCGACAAATAATTTGCTAGAGATTTTGGTCAAGCCACATTTGTTAATTGTAAAAGGCGAATATAAACCAAAAGCACGCGAAGCGTTGGTTAGATTATCCGAAACAACACTAATATTCACTGACTGGAGTTTTAATTCTGTATACCAGCCGTGTGTATGTGAGTTAGGAACCTACCCGGAATACACTTCTACGAGACATATCGTAAACTCAAGTAAATTTGGATTATTTTCTGCTGCTATATAGAACTAGTCATTTCTATATTAACCGTAGGCTAATAACTCCGAGAACCTTCTCATATACTCCAGAATTAATGCAACTGTCTCAACTGACATTTTGGAAAAGTACAAAACAAGCATAAGTCGAAGAAAATAATTTTGTGTAAATATTCAATCTTTGAAAACACATCGAGAAAGTTCAAGTATTTTTCCAATGTTAAGATACTTCCAATTTATTCAATTTTTACTGGAAAAGACTGAAAAACTACAGCTCATATAGATTCTTTAAAATGATTGTTTACATATAAGATTATTTTTAATTTACATTGTCGAAACAGAACGAAGTTCCCGAAGAGAAAGTAACTCTTCTCAAAGGCGAAGAGAAAGAGGATAAGAAGAAAGACGGAAATGGCGAACAAAAGATACAAAATGAAATACCGAGCAACAATTCTAAATTTGCTCATGCAAATGGTGAAGGAAGTGAGCCTGATCGAAAGGTAGAGGACAATGAAAAGGCGAAAACGGCAGGAAATGGCAAGAACAGCGAAGAAGAACCGGTAAATTTCAAAAAAGGTAAAACTCAGAAAAGTGATACAGACAACACAGGTGAAAGTAACGAAGATGGCGAATCCGGCGACGAAGGCACCAGACCCACTACAGATGGACAAGACAAAACACCGAATCCACAACAATCAGGTGGTAATCAGGTATGTTTGTGCAATACTTTTAGCTTTTAATATCATATAAAGCAAAATAAACCGGCCGAAAATAGAAAATAACAACATTTTGCGTATCGTCATTTCTTACAGTGATTTGTATACATTAATATAATCGATACTTAGTCTCTGGCACGCCAATTAACTTTCGTATAGTGAGCACATATAGTTGTGTGCACGGTAGATGGAAATTCCGAAAACACCGTTCCATTGTACATGAAACTCTGTATAAACGGCCCTAGTTGTCCTTTTTCGTTCAAAAACCGAACGGAGATATTCGGCTTTTAATACTCTAAAACGCGATATTTCGAAAATTATGGTCGCTGCGTATGGTAAACACAGTTTTGTGTGCACGTTAAATGGGAATTTTGAAAGCACCATTCTAGTCTACTTTAAATTCTATATAAGATACCTTAAAGTGCCCCTACGACGAAAAAATCCTCTCTCCAATTTAGATCTTTGTAAAACATTACCTCGAAATAAGCTAGCACAGCGTTCTTGGTTTTGCAATACCGATCTTGTTTCGTTCTGAAGATATTCAGCTTTTTAAAACATAATAAAATTAGCTCCAATTTAGCTCCTTTGCAGCACTATAGCTACTGAATGTGGTACATACATTGTTTCCATGGAAACAGTACAAAAAATAACTGCTTCACTAAAAAATGTTAATTGTGTTTTTCGCCCCATTTGTGAAAAATACGACCATGCAAATGATTGAAACTTGACTTTTGCGTGTGTACGAGTATTCCGTCCTATGGTTTAGTTTAAAGCTTGTTTAGCAGTGAAGAAATAATCGTTTTTGCTCTACAAGCGAAACGCATTTGTTGCTTTATGGTTTCCATGAAAAACTCCGTGATGCATATTTTGAGGTGTGAAACGCTGTACTAACACGAAGTTTTAATGAATTGTTTCTGTCACGAATGAAGATGTTCATCGTTTTCTAAATCTGATTTAATATTCTGGAGTAAATGACGTCACTTTGGACCTAATTTGCTTGTTTTAAAAAGCTGAATATCTTGAGAACGAAACAAGATATTGCAAAACCAAGAACGCCGTGCTAGCTTATTTCGAGGTAACGTTTAACTAATATCTAAATTGGAGAGATGATTTTTTCATCACAGGGGCACTTTAACTTCCTTTCTCATTCGGTTTACAGTAAAATTGTACTATACTTTGTTGTACTGTAATGAAATATACTGTATTTTGTGTTGTCATAGCTGTCACGTCTTGTTTTAACTAATTATAGTGCATTGTATTGTACTGTATGACAAAGTACAATGTAATTGCTATGTTTAAATTTAATATAATACATCACCACAGATTAATAAAAATGCGGCGCTCACACATGATCTTCCAATGCGGCGCTCACACATGATCTTTGACGACAATGTTTGAGGATCTGTGGCAAAATGCAGGCATTCGTAACGGAATGCTACGTGGAACCTGAGAATATCCCTACTGAAATTGTCCGGGAGGAAGACATTTTTGCTGCCGAAGGCAGCACACTATTCTTAACATGAAGTATTGCGTGTCTGCGTTTACTTGTGTCCAGTCTCTTTGGCCGAGTTATGTATAGTCGATCGAGATTTCGATTTGAGAATTTGTGTCTGTCTGTTTGTAAAGATGTCGTAATTCCGGGGAAATAATTAAGGCTTCAGGAAGTTTTTTTAAACGAGGGGGGCGGTCAAAATTTATTTTGTATTGCGCTCGCATTCGTCATCGCGCGTTAGCGTGCGCACGCACGCTGGGCGCTCCGCAAAAGTTTGCATTTTTTTCCATCAAGAACACAAGATTTCAGTAAAATTTGTTGGAATGTGGTGAATAAAAGTATAGTCTACGAGTATTTGAGGTTTGCAAACGGTTTTAAGTACTTCTTCTTATTAATAAGTTCATATATCATCGTGGTTTTTGTGTCTTTCAATTGCTGTTTACAAGAAATATCGTTGACAATCGCCAGCGCGGACGTGATTGTATGCTGACGTAATTTGATCACCTATAACGAGTTTTCGTGCGGTCAAGACAGTCAATTAGAATCAATTAATCCAATCATACACGATCAAATTGTCACTACAATGAATTATAATACCCATCGAATCTTGTTCAATTCAATGGCTAAATGGTTTTTGACTCTGGCAGTAAGTTTTTGGTTATTAAAAAGATCTAAAACTGCACTACCTCACCACAACAACACTTCAATGCCTGGGAATATCGTCATTTCATCGAAACTAACATCAATACCGGACAGATTGAGCTACATTTGGACATCTACACGTGATGTCGTATTAAGAAAATGTGCAATGTCTTCTAAATATCGTTATGGCTTGGAGTTTAAAATAAAGAAGAATAATCTACACTTATTCCTGCTAATATTATTATCTGGAGACGTTGCCACAAATCCAGGACCTGGAACTTCGACTGAACACACTAGTAATGAACTCAATGCCATTTATCTGAACGCGCGAAGTCTTAAAGCTTTTGTGCCATTTAATGATGATTCTTCTGCTAAAGTCTGCAAGATCACTTTGTTACAGGAACTAGTTCATAGTGGGTCCTATGACATCATCTGCATTTGCGAAACTTGGCTCAATGACTCAATTATAAGCAGCGAGCTGCTGCCTGGATATAGTGTCTTTCGCCGAGATAGAGTTGAAAAGGTTGGGGGCGGAGTGCTTGTTGCCGTGAAAGCCAATCTGCATGCGACTAGACGGCCAGATCTCGAAAGAAATGAAATCGAACTAGTTGTAGTGGAACTTAATAACACGAACAGTAAACCTGTAATCCTGTATACGTTTTATCGTCCTCCTGTTTCAGGCCCCGAAGTTTTCCATCACCTTAGTTCATCACTTCAGAATACAAGCGAATCTAGCTGTATTGTTTTGGTAGGAGACTTCAATCTTCCCGCACTTGACTGGACTACATTCGATGAACAAATCCCTACTACGGCCGGAGGTCAACTGGAAAACAGTTTCTGCGATCTGTTTGATGATAATTTCCTACAGCAATTCATTCTTGGTCCTACCCACAACTGTGGCAATAAACTTGACCTTCTTCTAAGTAACTGTCCTGAAATTATTACCAATGTCGAAACATCTACTCCCGAACAGTGCAAATTTCCAACCGATCATTATATCGTCGAATTTCAGATCAAACTTAAATTTAAGCGAGCTACTGTAGGAATGTCAAACGTCGAATTTACAACTACAAAATGGCAAACTTTGAAGGTTTGCGTAGCTGCTTGTCCAATGTACCGTTTGAGAACGCTTTCTCGGATGATATTGTCCAATACTGGTCGAATTGGAAAGACTTATTCTTGACGGCTGTGAATAAATTCGTCCCTGTTAAAACCATTAAAGACATAAATTCCCCCCAATGGATTGACGGCGAAGTTCGTCAGCTTGTCCGTAAGAAATACGCTGCACTCAAGAAATTCCGCCAGAATAGATCCATCATCCGTAAGCAAAAGTTGCGTTGTATAAGTCAAAACATCAAGAGTTTGATCAGAAAAAAACATCGCGAATATCTAGAAAGAGTCGAAAGTTCGTTCAACAAAAACCCGAAGTTTTTCTGGAGCTACCATAAAGCTATTCTACACCATAAGGAACAACACAACGCGGTTGTTACTTACAAAGATATTACAGCCAAAACTCCAGCAGAGAAAGCTGAACTTTTTAATTCATACTTCTCATCTGTGTTTGTACCATCAAAATTCACCACTGACACTGACATAGACTCTTTTGATTCCGATACCCAAATATCTGATATAACCTTAACAACGGAAGAAGTTGCTGCGTGTCTGTATAATCTGGACATCTCTAAGGCAAGCGGCCCAGATGGCATTCCAGCAAGAATTCTAAAGGAATGTTGCCACCAAATCGCACCTAGCATTTGTGACCTGTTCAATCATTCGCTACGCACTGGGCGCCTTCCCTCCGAATGGAAATCAGCTGATGTTACACCCATTGACAAGAAAGACCTTAAAGAACCCGTTGAAAATTACAGACCGATTTCCCTCCTGCCTATCATCAGCAAAGTTTTGGAACGTTGTGTTTCCAGGAGATTCTACGATCACGTCATTCACCTCATCACACCATCACAACATGGTTTTCTTAGAAATCGTTCGTGTATCACGCAGCTTGTCCAAGTTCTTCAAGCTGGGTTCCTGTTATCTCTGGCGTGCCACAAGGAAGTATCCTGGGTCCGATACTTTTTGCTGTCTTCATAAACGATCTTCCGGAAGTAATATCCAATGGCTCTTCGGAAGCTATGTATGCTGATGATACAAAGTTGTTTAGAAACATCAACTCTACAACTGACGGTGATTGTCTACAAGAATCTTTATCCAACCTCGACACGTGGAGCCATGATAATAACATCAAGTTCAACGCATTAAAATGTAAGGTTTTGAGCGTGACTCGAAAGAAATATCCCGTGACTTACAACTATCATCTGGGTTCATCTTCGTTGCTTCGTGTCCGGAAAGAAAAAGATCTCGGCATCATCGTGACAGACAATCTCTTGTGGAACTCGCATATTCAAATGATAACAGCTAAAGCTAACAAGATGCTTGGTCTCCTAAAGAGAACTTGTCCTTTATTGACGGAAACCAAAATCCGGCGTTCATTATACCTATCGCTTGTTAAGTCGAAGTTATGCTATGGTACTGAAATTTGGTCTCCATCCAATGTTTCCCTCAAAGTCAAGATCGAAAGAATACAACGACGAGCGACAAGATGGATCCTAAGATCAAGAATAGGTGAGATATCATACCAGGAGAGACTTCAGACTTTGGACATGCTGCCGCTGTGTTATGACAGAGAAATCCAAGACTTGGTCTTCTTCTATAAGGCACTATACGGTTACGTAGACTTAGACATAGGCAATTATGTTAGTTTTGTTAGTCATGATCGTTCTCGACTAACCTTAAATCCTAGTCTATTACTTCAAGTGCCGTTATGTAGAACAACTACGTTTAAAAACTCTTACTTTAATCGAACAGTTCGTTTATGGAATGTAGTGTGCAGAACTGCATCACCTAATAGCTTCGTGACATTATTTACTTTTAAGAACTTTCTTCGTCGGACTTATTCGTTTTTATGTAATTCAGTTTTTGACGTAGACATGCCATGTACCTGGTCTCTTGTTCGAGACTGTCCATGTCACAGAAACTAAAATAATGTATAGTTCTTTGATTGAAGTAAAGTTCGTTTCGTGTACATGCCCAAGTCACATGTTTTCAAAACCAAGTTAGTTTTATTTTCCGTACAAATTTTCCAAAATCTACATGCATTTTACGTATTTGGAGATCCTGTGCGTATGCGCAAATCGAGCTTTACCTCAACTATAATTTATAGTGTAATGTAATTTTTTGTGTAAAGTTTGTAAGGGAGGTGCCTCGCATGGGCTTTTTCTGACCCGTTTGCACCTTTCCTTTTGGGAAACACCTATTTATCGTTATTGTTAGTATTCCCAATAAAGTTATAAAG